TGGTTGTTGTCGGGCTGGTGTTCTCAGGTTTGATCCACTGCTCAGACTAAACTTGAGGCTTCAAAGCAGTCATTTGCAAACCAACAGAGGATGTCACAGTCTCTACAGCCATCTTTTATATACTGTCTATGCCTACTGCACATTTATTAAATGAAATCCTCCATGTGGACTCTTAACAGACTAGAAAGTAGAAAAACAACAACTGTTCATACGAGGTGTCAACAGCTGTCCGTGTCTGCTTTAATGTGAACTATGGAAACTTCACAGTAATCTTAAACTTGCTGAAAGTGTTTATGCTATATTTATGTTATATCATGCCATAGCCAAAGTAAGCTGAGGATTTTAGAAGAAATCTTGCCTTTGAATGCAGGATCATATTTTATGTATTGCATTAGAAATCATGGTGAAACAGCTCTCTTTTGTGAATACAGTCAGTTAAATGTGAAGATGAAGGTCAGCAGTACCTAAAATGAACTGCTCGTTTTCTAAACTTCAAATGAGAGGCCACCACTCACTCCTGATTCTGTTATTAGGCTGTAGTTACCGCCTGATGCTTTTACAATACAGCGGTGGTCTCCCCTCTGACCCCTCCCCCTCTAGCGCTTCCTATTGGATACTGCTCACCAGAAGCTCTCTACTATTGGTCGAGCCTTCCGTCAATCACATCCCGCCGTTCGAATAGTGGGCGGGGCCACCCACCTCGCTTTGGGAAAAGTTTTCCCAAAGTTTTCTGTTGCGTCAAGTTCGCGAAAGTAACACCGGAAATACGTCAGTAAGTGTAAAAATAAAACCATTACTCCGACTCGTTTTGGGGGAAAATAAGCGTGATTTTAGTTAAATGTGTGACATGAAACAGTTTGGAGGATGTTGTGATAAAGTATGGAGCAAGACCTGAGTGAATAAACATGCTAACATCAACTTTTCACCGACAGCTCGACCGGAAGCAGCAACCGAAACAGTCGCCGTAACTTTCACTAGCTTGACCCGGCCTAAAAGTTTCTGCCCTCCCCCTCTTCCACTCACTCCGTCCGTCCTTCCACCACCCATCCATCCATCCATTCGTTGTTGATGCTAGAGCGGTGATGGAGAAGCCGAGGGACCGCTACCGGCGCCGCTAAGCTCGCAGCGACTCATCCCGGTGCGACAAACCGAGACAGAGAGGCGGACGCGGGGATCGACCGGAGCGGAGGGAGAGGATGGAAACGGTCGAGCAGCTCGTCTCTTTCCACCACATTCAGGTCCAGTTGAGCGGGGGCGCGCCTTGGGGGTTCACGCTGAAAGGAGGGCTTGAGCACGGCGAGCCGCTCATCATCACTAAAGTGAGTATGACCGTTATGAGCATGCACACTGATAGATGTGTCCAGAGTCTCACAAAACTGCACAAAAAGTGTGTCTTAGGTCATTGCAAGGAGTTTGCACTGCATTGTGCTAAATCCAAGCAGTGTTTTCTTAAATTTGCTGCAAATATTCATAGTTTTCTCTTCATATTATTGACTATATGAGTTCCATTTTATTAGGATTTGGGTGTTGCAGCACTCCAGCTCCACCAAAACAGCAGTTGTGGTTGGTTTTGCAGGTCTGTGACTGCTCTCTCATTCATGCATGCTTGAGCTGCTGGTCACTTGGTTTCAGCTTACCAACTTAGGCAAAACCGTTTTAATATTCTGGCTTCTGCACAGCTAGATTTAAAGTGCTACTCCTCCTCCTCCTCCTGCTGCTCTTCTGCAGAGAATAAAAAGTTATTGTCCAGAGCTAAAGCAAATATCCGGTGCTGGTTGATGTTTGTCAGCTGTCACTGTCTATGAATAAAAACTCCTACATAATCTAATGCAGCGGTTGAGTTCTCAAACCTGGAGGTCAAAGGGTCCCCCCAGGGGTGCTAAAAGGGGTTCCCATGAGGATCCCAGACGAAATGAGGCTCCGTTCATCTTCCTGTTACTTCATTCACTGCAAGGTAGAAACGCCCAAGTGTTGACAGACGGCTAAAACCACTTCAGATGGCCGAGTTTCAGGCAGAAAGGATCCAGCGGGGTGTCTGTGGGATGTGGGAATCCTTGAAATGAAAGACTGTGATTCTCTGATGAGACATTCTCAGAATTGCCATGTGCTTGTTTGTCACACAGCTTAAAAATAATTTTTGCTGAAGCACCCTCAAGCTTGTTGCACGGGGGAAATGCAGCATGACGTGTGGTGTGGTCTGCTGTTGTTTCTGCAGAGACGTGTTAGCTTCAGGTGGGTTTGGAGGGGGCTTTGTAGATTTAGTGTGTGCTCTCAGATGCTGACGCGACCTCATCTTGTGCGATAAAGTCGTGGGGGCCGACGTTTCCTCCCGACCTCTTCTCACGGTTTCACGCCGCGGGCGGTGAGCTGCTGGAAATAAGGAGGGTGTCTTTGAATTACTGCAAGTAATTATTGGTGTGTGTTCTGCTGGGGGTGGTCTCGCCGCATGTGTGTGTTCAGTCCAGTGCATAAGTAGGACATGCAACCTCTGCTCCCTCTCCCTCCACTGTCCCACTCTGTTAAGAAGTCACAGCAGCAGCAGCAGCAGCGGCGGTGGTGGTGTAAATGTTGGCCGGTGTACATCTAGATTCACCACAGCGGGGAATGGAAAAGCCTGGCTCAGTCATCTGGAAACACACACACACACACACACTAAGTCGCACACAGTAACACGGCCCCTGGGAAAATGTGACTGGGACCGCTAAAGGAGATAAAAATCAAACTGTGCTCTGTAGCTGTTTTGTGTCCAGTGGCTGGTTGAAACTCACACACAATAAAGCAGAGCAGGAGGCGAAGCTGGGCAGGGAAATGTTGCGCTGAAAAGTGTTTCAGGTGTTTAATGATTAAGTGTTAAGTCCTTGAAGGAAAGTGCAGAAAGACGGAGAAGCTAAAACTGAGGTGTGTATGTATGTGAGAGACATGAGTGTGTAATGTGGTCCAGAGAGTGTTTCCATTAGTGTTCACACAGAGGTTTACTGTGTCTGTGGGGACCACAGCTGAATACTGCCATAATCCTCTCACATCCCAGGGACATGGAAGTGTTTGTGTGTGAGAGGTTGAAATACATAAATGGAGATTAAATTCTGCAGAAGATATTTGGCGGGATGTTTAAGTCGCATTTCATGTACTCTGTTTACATTGTGATTGTGTCTCAGTACCCACAATGCACCATTGTACGCCTGTTTTTTCTCCCCTGCATTTACCATATCAATACACAGACTGCATGGAATTCCAGGTGTAAATTTGCCCAACTTTTATTCCTTGCAGCTTGTCACAGTTGAATTTAAAGGCAGCAGGATAAAGAAGTCCGTGTTGGATGATCAGACAGCTTTGGAAACCATCACACCTTTCTGTCAGTGTAGTATAATTAAACCAACATCACGCTGTGCTCAGGTGAGGAAGAAGCCAGGGTTTTAGTTTTCATTTTTCTGTCACTTTTTGCGTTTGCAACTTAGTGCAACACTGGTGACATCTGTCCCCCCAGCTTACTGCCTGTAGCTCCTGTTGGGGGATCTCAGTGCTTTCCCAGCCCAGATGAGGTAGATAATCCCTCAGGCATGTTCTGGGTCTGCTCCAGGGAAGTGGCCAGATCACCTCCAGTTTAAAAACAGTCAAGAAAGGATGACATATCAATGGAAGGCGACTTTCTACAGACTTACGTCACATTACATCATCCCCACCAAGGTTTTTTTTTATGCAAATGCCAGTCTCTAGTGAGTCTTTAAAGAGTGAGTCTGCTGTTTTTTGGGGGTAGTTGAGTGGGACAGAGGGTGCCAGTTGCCCTTTCAGGACATCCATGTTTCAAAGAGTGTGTGTCTGTGCGTGGCCCTTTGAGAGCTTGTTCACTGCAGGAGGGGGAAGGGTGGCTTCTGTGGTTGGAGACAGCAGAGGGATATAAGCCATTTGGTCAACATTCCACCAGGAGCATAACTAATTACTACTGTGGGGTATGGGTGTGGACATTTTGTGCATTTTTATACGTGTGTGTGCATACGTGATCATACTCACAATCTCAGGCCGTTCTCCTTGCAGGCGGCATTCAGCTGTGTGATGACACGCTGAGTTTAAGGCTTTATCTGCCCAAAAAGTTAGCCAGTCACTCATTAGCTCTGCTGCCCAGTCAACCATTTAGTGAGTCAGTCTGTCAGCTGGTTACTGGCAAGTTAACAGCCAGGCGGTGTGCTTTGGTGAAAAATGGTGGTGTTTTAAAGAAGAGGCCTGCAGAAGAGCTGCACTGCATCCAAACATGCACATTTTAAGCCTTAAATGGAGAGCCAACAACACAGAATTAGTTCACTTATTATACATCTTATAATGGTTATATTCTGGAGTTAAAAGTACGTTTTTTTAAATATTCATTCATTCAACCTTTATTCAGATCTTGAGGAATCACTGAGGGCTTGTCCTCATTTCCAGTGATGTCAAGTTACAGCAGAATAACTAGACTAATAATTAACAAGAAAACAAACAACAGTTTACAAACAGTTGCATTCAAGAACAGTCATTTGTTGTCGTAGGTGTAAACTGACACACAGGTACAGATGTGTTAAGTTTTGTGTTTTTGTCAAATGTTGCAGGAGAATGCAGCACAAGAACTAAATCCAGTGTGTGAACGCAAGACTTGAGCCGTTAGCCAACAGCTTGAACGAGTTGAGCAACTGACTTTGGGATCAGTTTGACAGAGAAGTTAATTGTGGTGGCATCTTGCCGTTATAAATAAAAAGGAGCCGATGTCTGTCATGTCTCGCTGCCAGAGACGGCCAGCCAACTTTCTCATAAAATGAGCCGTGATGAGCAGAATAGCTGTCATAAGTAATACATGTTGGAGCAGAGGGGTGAACTGAATCCAGGGCTAGCGCTTTACAGGAGTTTGTTTGACAACAGTGGCAGGTTTACTGCTCTAAATGTGCCATCATGTTTGAAACACTTAACTTCAGACAGAGGGAGGCAATGCAGGCAACTGTTAGTTTTAAAATGTTGATTCTGCAGGCTGAACCGCAAACCGCTATCCTTATTAGCTCATATGAATTTATCAAGCAGTGTTTACAGTGTATGAAACCATTTGAACCTGGTTATCTTAAACTGAAATCATGAGAAGCAGACCAGCGTGCACCAGCCTGTAATCGTATAATTTCTAAAAATAGAGCTATAATAGCTGGTGATCCAACGCAAGAACTCGAGGAATGTAACGCAGACAAGTTTTCCTTCCATTATCAGATCAAATGTGATGTTAAAAAGTTGTTTGCAAAGTTTACACTCTGGTTTCTGTCCGTCTATTTTATCAAAAAGCGACAACTTGTTTGACATGTTGTCAGTTACTTTGGATTTGACTCTGAGTAAACTTTCAATACATGTTAAATTAGTTCGACCCAGCAATCCCCAGCAGGTTGTGAAAACACAGGTTTGTTCGGTCTGTTCCTCCAGTCGCCACAAGTAATGGATTATTCCTGGTGATCTGTTGATGCAGCACTGTTTTCCTTATCAAAGCAACACTGGTGATGAGAATTTGACTGGATGAGAGGATATTGTCTAACCAATGGAGCCGCTGATCTGGAGACAACAGCACTAGAAATAAACTCAATAAATAGCAATCCACGACTGCTAAAGGTGCCCTGATAATGTGTTGAGTTAACGTGAGGCTCCATCTTGGCCTTGGAAGTAACACCGCAGATATGAGCGAGATGTCAGAGCACATGCACTCCTTTGTTCTTTACCTCTGGTTTAAGAAAGGCGATAGACAGCAACACATCGCACAAAAAGTTCATGTACTGTATTGTACTCATTCCCAGAACTCTCCGTCTCCAGCAGAAATTAGCAGCAAGTATGTTGATCTGTAGAAATTCCTGGGTGCTACCATTGTGCATGTTTACTGGCATACAGGCCTCTTTTAGGGTAATTTATCATCTCAAACACTACCAGTTGTCAGCTCCATGTGTTTTGCGACATTTTGAAGTCCTTTGTGTCTTTAGTCGAATGCGGTTGTGATGACTAAGTGGTGAGTTCCTTCTATTGTTGTGTTTGACAGAGCGGCTGTCGGCTCACTTTCATATGTGGTTTTATGATCTACTGGGAGCTCTCCGCTCATTCGTGTTGGGGACATATTTCTCTTTCTGTTTGAGCCTCTCAACAGTTCCTGGCTGCACTGCGGTGCCCTGACCATGAGGAGGTTTTCCCAAGAGGCAGTTGGGCATCCAGAAAATTGTGGACCAGTTTGTGCTTTGGAGAAAAATCTGTGAGGAGATTTTGTTCAATGTTAGCGGCTGATTGAGTGTGTTTTCTTGCAGTGTAGTAATCAGTTACGCAGATTGTTAAAGACTTT